TTTTTTTTTTCTTTTCTTTTTTAACCAGAGAATACCCTATCCAACCAAGTCACCAAGTAAACACCACAGGCACTGATATCAAACACCACCGACTGCAATGAACGACTTCGTGGGAAACATTTCTAATGCGTCGACCAGCTTGGGGTCCAAGCCTTTACAGCCTGCTCTACATGGGACAGCGGCATCTTTCGTCAGTGCTTCGTTAATATGTCTCCTAATTATTGGCGCGCTGGCGGCGAATACCTTCGTTTGTTTAGCTGTTTATAAGCAGCGCTCGGCCAGACGTATAACACGCTACTTTATCATAAATCTTTGTGTGGCCGATATTTTCATAACAGTTATCAGCATGGCAGTGTGGTTGATATTCCTGCTGTACGACAACAGGTCAGCGGTTCACCTCCTTGGAGAATCGTTTGTGACTATTTGGAGGCACGTGGATATTCTGTGCGGAACAGCCTCGATTCTGAGTTTGACGTCAATCAGCGTAGATCGTTATATCGCGGTGTCCAGACCTTACTCATACGTGGAGTGCATAACCTCAAGGCGAGCACTGTTTATGATTGGAGGGATCTGGAGTTATTCCATAACTGTTGCAGTTTTGTTTAAACCATTGAGAAAATTTAAAGGTGGTAAGTAAAATATGAGGCCATATTTCATGAGGCCGAAGGTCGAATCAGTTGTCATCTCATAGACATCTAGAGAGAACAGTCTGATTCTAAGATTTAAATCTATCTAATTTAACTTAATTTTAGGAATTCAACTTCTCATCTCATTTTTAATATAAACTTCACGCTTGAGAAAAATCGCCCGAACAGAATTTCATTTGAAATTTACGGTTGTGTACACATAACTCGTCAGTTTTTTTTTTTCTTTTTCGTTTTTCAATTTTTCTCTTTACCGGCAACCTCGAGATTTTAGATTCAAGAAACCGAGAATGTTCTGATTTTAGTCTTCTCAGGAATTTGGTTATCCATTTGTTTGTAAATGTTCCCCGAAAAACGTCAGATTAATCAGAAAACGTTGCCATTTTGTTAACCAATTGAAGAAAATGCACACTAACGACTGAAAGTATGGCTCACCCAATCAGATGGCAGCATCTTCATTTGTATACCAGTGGAATTCTGCCAATGATAGATAGGTGGACTGATTAAAAATCAGAATAGGACGGTAAATAAAGTTTTTAAATTCATGTGCAACATAACACGGCCATAAACCGGATAGAGATTTATCTGCATGTGAAGCCCGGGGGATGTCCATCGCGCCTTACTACGGCACCAATTGCTCACTCAGTAGATGACCCCTTCCCTTGTCTTCTTCGATTCATTGTCAGTAAAAATTGCAAGACATTTCAGGCAAAGGAGAAATGATCAGGTATTGATTTAAAAGCAACCAAATCAAGCAGAAAAATGTCAGAAAATGTTATGGGATTTTAGTAAGGCCTTATGTTGTCGAGATTAGGGTTACGAACAGCTGTGGTTATTATATTCTTACTTTCGTTCTTTCCTTTTCTTCAAAACCACTAAATTATGGTGGAGCAAACTAGGCCTAACAAGCTGATGTCTGTATATTTCAGGTTATGCCATATTTGTGATGTTTGCAAGCTTTCTCCTGCCACTTTTGGTAATCATCGCAGCTTACGGGAGCATGTTTCGCGTTGCCATGCGGCACGCTCGTTACCAGACCCACATTCTCGAAACGAAGAGCCACCAATGTTACAAAGAAGTCAAACGACACCTGAAAGCCGCGAAAACCGTCGCGTTTGTTATAGGAACGTTTTTATGCTGCTGGGCGCCGTTCATAATCGTCAGTGTGTGTTATGCGTTTTTCAACTTGGATCCACACGGCGCCAGCGTGACAAAATGGCTGGCATACCTGAACGCTGTCTTGAATCCCGTGGTTTACACCTGTGTGGATAAACCGTTAAGGAGGCTAGTGAAGAAGCGTTTGTTATTTTGCTTTCGCAAAAGATTCTGGATTTTCTCCAAGGGTGACCATACCGCCGCAGAATATTCTACTCCGATGGCTACACTGGCTTAAATCTGTTATGTAGAACATGCTAGAGCAAAAACAACAACAGCAATAACAAGCACCTCACTTACCAATAATAGGAGATTGAAAGAACTGGGCGTGGCAGATTAAAAGAATGGGGCAGAGGAAAGAACGACACTAGCTAGATGATCTAGTTGCAGATGGTGTTCTTGTGTTAAGTAAAAAAAAAGAAAGAAAAAAACCATGAAAATGTCGCGAAGCTCCCTGGAGACACCAGTATTTCAGTAGCAGCTACTGGAACGTATTATATTAAACGTGGGACTCTCTAGCTACGCCCTACTCATCAAGTCGATACCCCTGTGTACATGGTTTATAATCGGGCTTGGATTGTAAATAAAAGATGACTTAAAAAATCACTAAGTAATATTTATTTTTATTTGCCATAATATTACTTTAAAGACACGACTGTTTTACTGGAAAATACACCACTCGTAAAATTCAAACGCAACCACATCTGGTACCCGAGTAGCGTATTTTTCATACCCTCACTTGTGGGGATATTGATGACGTCATTTCCCGGGTTTTTTTTCACAGTTGTTTGACTGTATCATTTTTTTTTTATGATAAAAAAAGACTATACGGCGGCTTGAAGATATGGGTATTTTCTCGTGTTAAAAACAATATTTTACTGACTTGCAGCGCTCGTTTGCAAAATGGTTTTACCCCTCGAAAATAAAATTCATATCTTCGAGCCACCATGTATCACCGATCCATTCGTCTGTATATCGTGAGGCTTACACTACTATACCAAAGACACTTTATGGAACCGTCACGCAATATTTTCTACTTCACGAGTCCAAACCTCTCCTGCATTGTTGGGTTGGGATTTCTGGATCTTTATAAGCAACAGCAGTTACAATATCTATATTTTTCTCAGTACAAATATTATAATTATTATAACATTTTTAGTTAATTTAATATATCTGGTATGCCGGCTTTAGATGAAGTAACTGTTACAATCTTGCCTAGTTGTAGGACAGGAGAGATTAAGGAAACATTTGCAGTCACAGGTTTTTGTTTAAAAAAAGCAAAAAGCAAAAATTGAATAACTAATTCACGTATTTGTCGGACAATAAATCATGTTTTATCTTTTGTAATCTGAAGCTACGTTTATTGTTCATAACTGGATGTCTGCGACTGCAAGGATTTTATCGTCTCAGATTGCAGACATTCAGAGGGAGTGGATGGGGTTAGCTGGCAGTTGCACGCAGCGAATCGGTCAAGATTTTGACTTTCAGCTTAGAAATAACGCACGTTAAATTATAGATTACCCCCATCCAGACTCTAACAGTTTTACACTACTAACTTTTGCGTACTTGTTTGATTAAGTACACTCCTGGAGTTGGTGAGAGGGTGGGGGGAAGGAGGAGGAGAGGTCCGCTCATCAGTATGGCAGCTATTATTCCCTTCGCAATACCTGTAGGAATTTTTATCAAAACACGCGACAATTGTTGTTAAGAAGTTGATCAAACTGGAGATTCACGGTCACTGCATGACGCCTGGAAACAAGACTACGGTATCTCTGCTAGTGTCTAGTTGAGTCCACTAGTTTCAATGAAGAGGCCTTTCTTTGGCTCCAAAGGTTCCGCGATTTTCGCGGTTCCACATTTTCTCTCGACGGTACCTGTTCCGTTGAATAATCTTATCAGAGCAAGTCCATTTCTCTACCAAAAGAGATACCGAAAAGCTCCTAAAGTAACGACTCTAACTCTTCATATTGGCTACCTTCTCTGTCACTACCTTTGGAGGGTCGCAACTTTCGGGGGGGGG